GGGATTTAAAATAGCAACTTTTTTACAAAAACTAACTTTTTCAACTTAATTTTTGAAAATGTTCCGGAAATACTGCGTCCTTTAAACATATATCAAATTAAAGTTTATTTTATATACTATAAAATGAAAAAAAAAATTTGTCCCGACGACCTATTTTCTATGCGCAAATGGCNTTTGTCCCGACGACCTATCTTCTATGCGCAAATGGCTACCGTATTCAAAAATATGCTATTTTTCTATTAAAATTCTAGGTTTTGTATTTTATTTTATTTTAAAATATCTTATTAGGAGAATATATTGACTTTCATGAATATTATATAATTTAATTGACATGGAATAAAGTTCATAAGACATAAGAAATTACACTTATTAAATTTCNATAAAGTTCATAAGACATAAGAAATTAAACTTATTAAATTTTTTTTACTTTTTTAAAGTCGAAAAAGTAATTTTTAAATTTGAGTTAGCTTAAATAGCCAATTTTTTAGCTTCGATGCGAATTTTTTATATGTAAATACTAATTTTTAATAATATTAAAACTTAGAAGTAATAGAAAAAGTCTAATTGCAGATTTGAAAACATCACGAAAAGTTGATTTAGAATGGTATATTTTTGCTTCTGATGAAAGTTCCTTGTAGTTCAGTGCATTTATTTATAGTAACAAACAGATTTTATTGAAATTTATTGTATCAAGCCCTTTAAATTTTATACACGTAAAAATAAAACNAAGCCCTTTAAATTTTTATACACGTAAAAATAAAGCAAAATACAACTTCTTTATTATTTTTATAATTTCTCCGTTTAAATTACAATATTAAATTATTGAATATTAATTTCATACTAAATTTAATAATTATTATTAGTATTTATTCATATATTATATTTTAAAATCAAATAACTACTAATTAGGATATAATCAAAGAAATAAGAGTTGATGTTGCTTTTGGAATAATCCACCAATTTCTCTAAATGAAACACTATCTACAGATTTGCATTGAAGTGTTTTTTATCATAGTGATTTTAATCACTGTCAAATATCATCTATACTGGAAACAACTATGCCACATTTACACTGTGTCGCAACCTCATTGTGTTGGGTTTTTTTAATATTGTTTCAAGACCTTAAACTTTTATATACATTTGCCATAAAAGTAATAACTACTTTATAATTTCTCCGTAAAAATTACAATACTAAATTATTAAATATCAATTTCATACTAGTGATTTTAATCACAATCAGATTAAATCTATACTGCACCCAACTATCGCACGTGCCTACTGTGCTGGGTTTTTTTAACATAAATTTTTAGGTATTAATAGGTTATAAAAATAAACTATTAAAAATACCCATTATGTTGAGTATTTATTTAAAATTCCTGTAATATTCCCTGGGGATTACTAAGATTTATACCTTTTATTTATCTATCACTAATCATATGCCAAGAACTAGTGGCAGATAATGAATATGTTAAGTTTACCTAATTTTTAAAAGAAAGTAAAAATCTATTTCAATAATACTTATGGGCATAACTTAAAGAATTTTTACTACCTGAGAATTGAATTAATTTGTGGTGGCTACAAATATTTTTATGAGGTTGAAATCTCACAGATCACATGAAAATTATGGTATGATAATACTATTAATTTTTTCATTTATTTTCAGATATTAATAAAGAAACCTATAGTTATAAATCAGGTTCTAAAAGTTTACAAGTTTTGGGTTTTACTGATTTACATAAAATACATCGTTCATGTTGGATGAATGGGGGATCTTACATTTTTAAACCAGCTGATGAAGTAATTTATTTTAAATGATTTGTGAAAAATTATTTGAAATTAATTGAAAGAAATTATTTGGTGTAGGAGAGTACTCTTGCATTTGAAGCATTATTCAATGTGATGTCTCAGAAAAAAATTGTTATGATTGTAAGGAAAGTTTATATGTTAAATAGTTTACCTAGCGTTGGAATCATGTATCCAGTAAATAACAATGACCAAAATGTAAATTATTTCTATGAATTAATTTTATTTTGTTATATAATTCTTTTTTTAAATAATTTTATTGCATGTCATGTTTTAGGTTTTTATGTTTGCAAGTTTACCTTATGCTCAAGATTTACGAAAACAACTGTTGCCTTCATTTGAAAATTATAAACCTAATGAAAAACAAAAGGATGTTATTTTTAATTTAATAAAATCAATGGATTTAGAAAAAAATGAAGGGTAATAATAAATTTTTGTTTAATTGTGATCATGTTTTCTGTTGTTACTTGATGAATGTAGGTAATGTAAATTTTAGCTTCGATGCGAAGCTGAGAAGGTATTGGTTTTACTATGATGTGTTTTTTTTTTTTTTTTTTTTTTTTTTTT